ATCTGATGGCACGTTACAACGATCGAGAACCAGGGCGCGGCTACATCTGGCGAGTGCAGACTCGTTCCGCCTGGGGGCTGGCCCACGGGTCACGATGCTCCCATGCTCCCTGGACCCAAGGACAGTAGGGATCCTCCCGAACTTATCGAGCCAGGCGGGGGACAGTCTGCCTCCTCTATGGGGCGATCAGGAGCCCATCCTAGGCCGCCGCGACCTCGTGCAACTGGCGATCCTAATGCCGAAATGGATAGTTAGAATGCGTCGCGGGCTGATCGTGGCATCGCGACCGGTCCTGCCTCTGACGTGTCTCCCCCGCCTGAACCAGTGTATCAGCGTGGCAGAGTTCGCCGAGCACCTCTCGCAGCTCGTGTCATGCCCCGATGTTTGCACCGCGGCGCAGGCCCAAGTGCTCTGCCAGATCCGGCCAGATTCAGCATCCAGTTCATCCTTGAATCGCCCAGGAGTGCCGACCCCGCCGTGATCAACATGGAGCTCTGCAAACTACATCACAGTTGCTTTCCTGCAATCGAAACCCAGATGCGTCAGATGTGGCAACGCGTGGGCTTAGCCGGCGTGGAACTAAATACGGTCAAGCTCATCTGTGATTCATGCTGTGAATTCTAGGCGCGGGGACGTCCTGGCTCTTCAACCTTGCCATCGATGAGCTCACCTGGCCGATTCAGCGAGGCGGCGGAGTGTTATCTGTACTTAAACAAAAAAGCGAATGTCCTCCCGCGCCGTGACCTGTGGATCATGTGCGCCAGCAGATGGGAGACCCCCGACAAGGCCAGTCATCTTTTCTTGGGTGCACATTGCGCTTCTCGTGTGGGGCACAGCCAACCGCGCCGCTAAACCGCAATTTTGCGGCGGCGAAGGAGGCCTCGACGACGACGATGCCAAGAGCCAGCTGGAAGCATTGGAAACCGAATCCCGCGCGCGAGCACAACGCGCCAGCACGGGCGAGGCCCGAATCGGTATTCTCAGCGGGCTCATGCACTCCATGGAGGAAAATCTCACATGGCCTTAATCCTTTTGCCTTTTTACAGACTACCGGCCGAACGCTATTCGCTAGAAGCGCATCTGCCGGCTCAGCACTGTTCGCTAGAAACAAAACGTCCCCAATGGCGGCGCTGATGTTAATCGCCCGCGCCGATGGCGATGGCGATATCTTCGCGTCGGCGATGCAGGTGTTTCAAACAGTTCCACGTGCGCGCGCGGCCGACGCGCGCGAGTGGCCCGCGGGGAATTCTTCGACTCGGATCGCGCCCTAGTTCCCCCTGGCACTCGCGCGAGGGCGTTCGGATGAGTTCGGCGCGCGGCGCAAGATGCCCGCTTGGAATAATGTGATGGCAATGATCGGTTACAGCATTAAAAACCAAATGAAACAACTTCGCGGGACCGCGGGCGCCAGATTTTTCGGAAATTGACGTTGCCAAACCATGTGCGTCGACGTGTGTTCGGGGCATTCGTTTTGGAAATCTTCGCGAACACAGGGGTGTTTGAATGATGTCGGGTTGCGCGCGCGACGACGCGCGCGCGCGTTTGCATTTCGCCCCATTCTTTGCGTGGGGTTCTTGCGACAGCACGCGCGCGAGGGAGTTCGAGCGATTTCGCCGTGCGCGCGCGAGAGGCCCGTTTGGCAGTATTAGATTGAATGTGGATGCGCTGGTTGTTTTCTCCAGAACTCACAAGAGCGCGGGCGCGGGCTTTGTCTGTCAACCCCGTTGCGAAATGTGTTAAAAGCACGTTTGCGTGATTCATGATATTGAAATCTTTGCGACGCTGGATGTTTTTTTGACAGATTTCGGCATGCGCGCTCGCGAAGTTGCGCGCGCTTGCACTCCGTCCCATTTTTGCAAGGGGTTCTTCTCTGCAAAACCCATAACTTCGATAAGCGGGTGATCGCGCGTAGTTTTTCCAGCGGGTGAAAGACAGGGGGGGGGGGGGGT